GAATTAAACCAGAAACTATTCAACTCCTAGAAAAAAAATGTAGGGTCAACACTCCAACGTATAGGCACAGACAGTTGCTTAATAGGACCCCTAAAGCTCAGGAAATAATGCCACAATAGTTAATATATGAGACGGCATCAGAGTAAAAGCTTGTGTACAGCAAAGAAAAYAATTAGGAATGTAAAGAGAAAAGCTGTAGAATGGGAGAAAATCTTTGCCAGCTACTGTTCTGACTAGATTAGTATCTAGAATATATAAAGAACTCAAAAACTTCACACCAAAAGAACAAATAACCCAATTAATAAATGGCCAAATGAATTAAACACATGCTTCTCAAAAGAAGAAATACAGATGGCTAACAAATATATGAAGAAATTTTCAATATTATTGGCAATTAGGAAATGCAAATCAAAACTAGACAAGACTTCATCTCACCAGACTGAATGACAGTCATCAAGAATACAAATAACAATAAATGTTGAAGAGGATATGGAGGAAAAGGAACACTTTTACACAGTTGGTGGAATTGTAAATTAGTACGTCCACTATGGAAATCAGTCAGAGGTTTCTCAAAAGACTTGGCTTATGACCCAGCTATACCACTCAGTATTTATCCTAAAGAATTAAAGTCATCCGACTACAGTGATACCATCCTACTACAGTGTTACATGCATACCCAAGTTTATAAGAGCACAATTCACAATAGCCAAAAGAAAATGTGGTATATGTACACAATGGAGTTTTATTCATCCATAAAGAAAAATGAAATTATGTCATTTGCAGGAAATTGGATGGAACTAGATATCATATTAAATACAATAAGTCAAACTCAGAAGGTCAAGGGTTGAGGAGGCTAGAGAGGAAAAAGTAAAAGAAAAATGGGAGGTGGATCTCCTGAAAATCAAGGGGAGATCAGGAGAGGTAAAGGGACCACCGAGTGGGAGATGGTAAGGGAGTAYGGAAGTGCTGGGGAGGTATGTTGGTCAAATTATATTGTTACATTGTATGTATGAATGAATATGTAACAGCAGATTCCATCTTTATGTGCAACTATAATGCACCAATAAAAAAATTGTGGGGGGAAACTCCCCTGCTCCCTGCTGCTTTAAAAATCTGCTAAGCTTGACATGGTGTCACATACCTTATTTCCTAGCTACTTGGGAGGCTGAGGCAGTCACTTGAACCCAGGAGTTGGGGGACCAGTCTAGACAAAGAAGATTGTCTCAAAATCTCAAAAAAAAAAAAAAAAAAAAGAAAACCAAAAATAAATAAGTGTGCTAAATTTCAAGGAAAATGAAATTTTCTCTGTTTAAAATGTCATTCATATTTTTTAATGTATTGTTAGAAATGTGTTTCATAGAAAAGAAACTGTGGGCTGGGGATGTGGCTCAAGCGGTAGCGCGCTCGCCTGGCATGCGTGCGGCCCGGGTTCGATCCTCAGCACCACATACCAACAAAGATGTTGTGTCCGCCGAGAACTAAAAAATAAATATTAAAAAATAAAAAAAAAAAAAAAGAAAAGAAACTSTGAAGTTATCCAAATATTTATTTTTGACCCCTGTTCCACATCCTTCCAGATCTCAGCTCAGTGCTGGGGAGGTATGTTGGTCAAATTATATTGTTACATTGATTTGCTGGAAGCAGCACAGTTCTGCTGTTGATTTGCTAGAAGCAGCACAGTTCTGCTGTTGATCTAGGTCATCCAGTAAAGCCATACTGCTTTCACTTGGTCTTTTTTTGAGCCCAACTGGAATGTCTTCTTCTTTTCTTTCTCCTTAATGTTGATTCTGTGATTTTGATGTTTTAGTACAAGATATTATTTTTTATGATCTATTTGCAAAGCTGAAATCCAAATTCTAACATTAGCATGTTTAGTAATAATAAATAAATAATTCTGGTATTAGCATGTTAATTGGCTTTGAATTACATCAATCTATATTAATTTCAAGGTTCCGGCACTCCTAGAAAATAAAGTTAAGGAGAAGACTTGTTCTGATTTAGAAGATACTGGAAGCTCTGAATGCTCTGACGCAGACTCTGAAGAGGAGGGAGACCGTGCTCACTGCAAAAAGCACCCCACTGACCCCAACATTGATAAGAAGGTTGGCCAAGAACTTTAATTCCCCTTTTCTTCAGTGTGTTAGCACAGCTGCTCTTATTTCTCTTTGTTAAGGATATAGCTAGACTATGATGACTGAAAATATTGATAGTAACTCTAATGATACTTTTCAATAACTAGGTGTGAACTTTGCTTTTGAGGGTTAGAGAGACCAGGCTGCTATTAGGAGCTCCTTGCATAGAAAGAAGACATATCTCTTTCCAGCGTTTATTTCCATTAAAATATGGAGCTTGAAAAGAAAAGTCCTTGCAAACTTTTAGAAACATCCACAAAGATATTTGTTAGGTTGTCTTAAATTTCTATTAAAGCTCAAAGACAATTTTTACCCAAAGTTCCACCACCAACCTATAATCATTTTCATTTTTAAGCTATACTCACTTTTATCCTTTCACATGAGTTTTTATTTAGTTGTAATAATAATATGCATACTCCAAATGAATGAAGTTTATTTTTGTTTGTTACAGGAAAGAAAAAAGATGGTAAAGGAAGCCCAGAGAGAGAAAAGGAAAAACAAAATCCCTAAACATGTGAAAAAAAGAAAGGAGAAGACAGCCAAAACCAAAAAAGGCAAATAGAGTGAGAGCTCTATCRTGTAGTCATTTTCCTTCAGCTGCTTTCTCACCTGAGCTCGGAGCTGCAGCTGGAAGATGGCTTCTTGATTTTAACCGAGCAGTTATTATGGCACCATTTGTGAAGACTGATTYGAATGTTTTTCCTGTAATTATGTAAAAAGCCCTAAGTTCTCATGTCCAGATCCAGTCACTGACACTGTCTGGTACTGACAGAGGATTTGTCTAAGCTACTATTTTAATGAAGAACTTGGTACATTTTTATTTTTATATTTTTTTCTCTTGCAAATCTGTTTTTAGAAGTATCATAAAATATTTAAATATTCCATGACCTTTATGTCAGTATAAAGGCACTTTAGACAAACTTGGGAAAATCATTTTTGCTTTCTTTATACTTGCCAAAAACATCTGAAATCATTTGGTTATAAGGCCATGTTTTATATAAAAGGGAGCTTTGCTCATAAGAAAATTCAGTTGACCACTGATGTAATCGTTCACTGCAACTCTGTTCTTGGATAGGAGAGAGAAAGCCTGTGGAGGTGTGAGGGTTTGCAATTCAAAATAGGTTTCTTGGGTCATGCGTGGTGGTGCATAYCTGTAATCCCAGAARTTTGGGAGACTGAGGAAGGAGGATCACAAGTTCAAAGCCAGCCTTGACAACAGTAACCCTGTTTCAAAATAAAAAGGGCTGGGGATAYAGCCCAATGGTAAAGTGCCCCTGGATTCATTGTCTAGTACCACATGGAAAGGGAGCAGGGTGACTTTGGGGCTGGGGTGTGTAGCTCAGAGGTAGAGCTCGCCTAGTATGTGTGAGTCCTTGAGTTTTATTCCAAGCACTAACAGAAGTGGGGACGGGTAGGCCATATTATTGAGATGTGATATTTGAACAAGTACTTAAAAGAATCTGAATCAGGTGCATGTCAGGAGGGAAAAGCATTCCAGACAAAGTGAAGATACAGGGAGAAAGTAGTAGATGAGTTCAGGTAGTGTAAGGCTATAGGAGAGTTTTGAGCAGAGGAATGGTATGATCTGACTTCTGTCTTAAAAGGATCACTCTGGCCTCTTGAAGCCAGATCAGGAAGCAAGGGTGGGAGGTGGTTGAGTATGTTTGTTGTGGTAACCCAGGTAAGAGATGCTGATGGCTGGGTCTAGGATGGTAGCAGTGGATATGGAGAGAAGGAGTTGGATATGCTAAGGGAACAGTTGAGGAGTAGGAGAGAAAGTGAAGGGTGACTTTGGGGTTTATGACCTAAGAAGCCACTGAGMTAATTGTAGTTGCTACTTAATTGATGGGAAGAAATGTAGGTGGAGCAAGCTTGGGATAGGAGAGAGAAAGAAAAAATCTTATATCTCAACACTGTGCAAATATTGAWATTATCAGGTTCAAAAATTTATTTTTCCATACTTCATGTTTAAATTAAAAAGGGCTATTTTAAACATTGCTTTCAGAAACTTTCTATATAAAAGTTCGTTTCCCCTTAAACCTGTACCTGTTTGTTTGATGGTGGATTATTGAGGGGAATCAATGGAGCTCTTAAAATTGAAGTCCAATTTTATTATATTCAAAATAATCCTCCCTTCCTGACCCGTAAGTTCAAAATATGAAACACAATTTCAGTGAAACAAAAAAGTAGCCCCTTTAAAATAGTCCACAGTGAACATAACAAGAAAATCCAAGAACAGTCTGAGCAACTCACACATTTGGGAAGTTCACCTTCATGATCTTACAGTTCTTATGATTCCAACATGGTTGTTCACATCAAGTGGGTGATTTCTTAGGCTGCCTTTTGCTCAATCTAATGTGCTTTCTCAGTGGAATTAATTCCACTTGACCAAAAGTTAATAGGATTGAGGGAGCAATTCATTGTCTTACATTGCTGTTGGGAGGAAATGGCTTATAAAACATCAAGATTTGGAAGCGCAGGGACGTTCCAACCTGAGAGCCATTTTTCTGATAACCTGCCACTGTGGTGGCTGTTTCCGTTTGTGTTCTGAGCCAGAAGACTATGACTGAGTGATAAGCAGTGATATTAGTGTTGCCAAACTTGTCTGAAGATAAATTTCCCTTGTTCGTGCTCATCAGAAGGCTTGGGTATAGGAACCTAATTTGTAGGCAAACAAAACTACTGATACAGCCTACTTGTTGACTTTGATTACTATTGAATTTTGATTGCTTGGCCATTGGGTTTTGGTGTTAATGGATTGTTGGCTGTACTGTCCATTTGGAAGGATGAGGTTTGGGTCTTTGGGTGCAATGTTAAGGACATAATTTTGCCAATTGCAGATGTATCTGATTTTTTCTATCATATTTTACTAATTTCTTATTCCTCCAAATAATGCAGATGTTTTTAAAAGTTCCTAGGAGAAATCTGGTTAATTTCTTTGAAGCCTGAGGTCACACAACTTTCCTATGCTGCTGTCATTCTCACTCTTCCATCAACAAAGCAGTTTGGGGACAGAACTTTGCTCAGTCTGGAGGTTCCGTCCTCTGAGTATGATCTTTGAGTGAAGCGGGGATGAGGGAGGAAATGGAGCAGCTTTTTGCTGCAGTCTGGTCAAGCATGATTCTGTGGTTCTTGGCTCACATCAAGTTTTCTTCAGCTTTATGACTTAATGAAGATGGACTCAAGATGTTGAAAACTTTATAGTGTGGTACAAAGAGTTCTTTGAGAACTTCTCTCCATGAGTACTCTGTTTAATTCTGTACTAGGGAGATTGTTCCTTGGCCTATCCAATTTTATGGTTGTGATCTCATTAAACTTTTGGCTCAGAAAATGAAGAGATGAAATAAGAGATGCAAAACCTTTTCATTTTCAAAACCTTGACAGGTTTTCTAATTTTCAGTTGTCTATGCACATTAATAAAGATCTTGAACAGAAGAACTTGCTTTGATTTCTGAGGTTGACGATGGAAGAGTTGTAAGGATCAGCAACAAGATCAGGTTCTATTTGAGTGTAACTACCTGTGAAGACTTTGTGGCCACATAGAAGGGATAAGTTTTCACCTATGGGGCTCATAAGCCAGAGCACTCCACTTCTTCTATCCTTCAAATAGATTGGGTTATTATATTCCTGACATTTCAGCTGGAGKTTTTAATTTTTGTACTTTTTGAGTTTGTATTTCCTTGAATATGAAGACTTCTAGAAGTGATCCAGGGGAAACTACAATGTTGGGTATCAGATATTTAAGCTGGTTTCCTAAGGAAGAGATTGTTGTTAAATCTGTGCCTACAGAGATTTTAATCCCAGTTGGTGGGATTGTGGAAGGCCCTGGATTAGAATTTGGAAACCCGGGAYTGCATTTGTGGATTTATTGACTTTGGTTTCCAGCTTGCTTTAATTTTCTGTGCCACTCCACATCTTTCTGCTTTGGTTGCTGGTTGGTCATGGTCATGAGATAGCCCTGTGCAAGTGAGACTAGCCACACTGCCACATAGTCCTTTTTTTTTCAGGAGGGCAAGGGGGTCTTCTGACATGAGYAGAGCTATTTCCAATTCTCTGAGATAGGGTTTCCATGTCTTTAGTGCTGCTTAAATACTGATCAGCTTTTATCTTCAGATGAACCTTTAGCCTGTGCACATTATGCAGTCATCTTGGAGCCCTATAATTCAGCAGTGAAAAGTGATGGCAGGTCCTCTGGGGCCAAAACATTGTTGAAGTCTGATTGCTACAGTGCTAAGCTGGAGAAGCAAGATTGCCAGTGTTAAGCCAGAGAAGCAGGAGGTCAGAATAGGGGTTTAAAGTTGCTGTACAAAAGTACAAAGAGAGGGTCGCCCTTGCTRGGAGTGGTCAGGAACAAGTGACYGAGGTGGAATAACAGATAAGCACATTGAAGGCAAGAGAATCAGACACCTGGCCTGGGGTTGGAAAGGGCATCTGTGTTCYCATAGGCATGATGTGAGAGTCACTGAAAGACCCTGGGAGTCAGAGGAAGTAGGTGGGGGAGGGGCAGCATGATAGCCTGCAGTGCAGAAGGGAAGTGAGTGGCCCCTGAGGATATGACACAGGTTACTTGCTAGAGAGCCAGGGGAAAGGGAACTATCAGAAAATGCAGGGATAAAAAGCTTTTTGTTAGTGTCTGACCATGAGTTGGAAGAGGACTGTGGGGTAGTTTCAGGGATTAGAAGAATAGGAAAGGAAGTCTGTTTTTTACTTAACTTGAATTGCAGATCCTTTTAGAGGGGTTGGGTGCATCAGTTTCTCAGATCCTAATCCCATTCAGGATGCTGTAACCACTGTGGAGATAGGGGTACCTCTGTACTTAGATGTAGCCAGTGGTTTATAGGATACAGGAACAGGGTACATGTTACTAGGAGGATACAGTCAACCAAATTCAGAATAAGGGAAAGACCATAAGAAAGGYGGGTGTGTTGGCTCATGCCTGTGATTCCCAGCAACTCCGAAAACTGAGGCATKAGGATCTCAAGTTCAAGGCCAGCCTTAGCAACTTAGTGAGATCCTAAGCAACTTAGTAAAACCTTGTCTCAAAATTTTAAAAATGAGACTGGGGATGTAGCTTGGTAGTAAAGAGCCCCTGGGTACAATCTCCAGTACCAAAAGAAAAAGAGGAACTATTATTTTAAAAGCTGCAGAAGTCTAAGGCACATGTATCTAAATGCTATAAACTTTATTTTGATCCTGGCCAAATTATGAAAAATTGGGATGGTTTWTTAATACAAGAAGGAAAATTGAAAATGAAATAGGTATTATGACAGTAGGGAATTGTTTGTTTTGTATAATACATGATACTGTAGTTAGATTKTTTTTTAATTGTCTTATTTTTTTAAATTGTGAATATCTGGAATTACTTTAAAATACTTCATCCCTCTTTCTAAAACAAAGTGGYGATAGATAACAAAATTGGTAGATCATTAACTGCTAAAGCTAGGTAGTGATTATGTGGGAAGTCATTATACTATTTTCATGATTTTTGTGTGTAAGAGTTCCTGTAAGAAAAAATTAATTTAAAAGAGATAAAGCATAATGAGCACTTAACAGGGATTTTGTAAGTAGTACTACATTACGCAGTGTCTGTGTATTTGTTATTTCACTTTTTAACTAAACTTCTTTTGCTCAGGTATCAAGATTTAACCCCATGGGCTAGCAAGGWAGGCCAGCAGAATGGTAATACCTTCTGGTGCTGGCCTAGCTCAGTGTTAACGGTTTGTATCTTAAATGTCTCCCAAAGGCCATGTGTTGAAGGTTTGGTCCTCAGCTGATGGAGCTGTGGGGGCTGGCGCATTGCATAATGGGAGGAAGCAGGTCATTGAGGGCATGTCCTTGAAAGGGGATATTGGGACCCTGGCTCCTTCCTCTGTTTCTTTGCTTCCCTACTTCCCTGAGGTGTTCAGCCCTTTCCTCTGTTTCTTTGCTTCCCTACTTCCCTGAGGTGTTCAGCCCTTTCCTCTGTTTCTTTGCTTCCCTACTTCCCTGAGGTGTTCAGCCCTTTCCTCTGTTTCTTTGCTTCCTGGCAACCATAAGGTGAATGACTTGGCCTTGCCATGTGCTCCCCACAGGCCCCAAAATAACAGAGGCAAGCGACCCTGGACTGAACCTCTGAAACTGAACCAAAGTAAACATTTCCTTGCCTCCAGTACTAAGGATTAACCCAGGCAGGTAGGCAGGCGCTCAACCAGTGAGCTACACCCCAGCCCTGACATTGCCTCTTTTTAAGTTTTTTATCTCAAGCGTTTTATCACAGGGCTTACTAATAATGCCCTTTGGGTTCAAAAATTCAAATCACACAGTGGATGAAGTTGAACAAATGCTGATAGATGCCAAATCTGATCCTCATTTTAAAATACGATGTTACCTTCTTGGTGAGACTTATTCTACCCATTCCATTTGAAATTGCAGTCTGCTCACTTCCAGAAAGCCCCCATTTACTTCTACTTATTTATTTTTTGGTACCGGGAATTGAACTCAGGATGCTTTGCCATTAAGCCACATTCCCAACGCTTTTTTTTTACTTTGAGACAGAGTCTTACTGAGTTGCCAAAGCCGGCTTTGAATTCTCCATCCTCCTGCCCCAGCCTCCAGGCTACTGGGAATACAGGTGTGCTTCACTGCGCCTGTCCCCACTTGGCTTATTATACTTTCACTACATTACTTTTCTGTAGCTCTAACAAATTTAACATTGAATTTACTTACGTATATTGTATATCTTCCGTCTGCTTCTAACCTCTGACCAGAATGTAAGTTCCGTAAGGCAGGGATTGTTGTCTTTGGCCTGATTTGTATCCCAGCACCTAGATTGGTGCCTGAAACATAATAAACTCTCAKAGATATTTAAGTGAATAATATGTGTGTGTTTCCTGAATAAACACGAGTCTTGAGTCAATTGAATGCACCACTGTTCATCAAAATGAAAACTAGGTGATATGGGTTGGTTTGCACCCTTTAGCCTACCCCATGACCAGTGGTGCATGTTTTCAGATGCCCAGCCTGAGTTGGTGGGGTCGCAGAGCCTGCCTCGCATTAGAACCCTTGGCATGGATGGAATCAAAGCCAATGAAACTGATATATCTTCAACAGTTGGAAGTAACAATCATTTCCATTTTGACTTTGTAAAACTATTTGAATATCATCCAAAACAATCAGAAAAATGAGCTTACTAATGAATTATTCAATCCCAAAGTACCACAATGAAGAGAAAATGAGAAAGTTTTAAAAAAATATTTGCACATTTTGCTCTTTACTTACCAATGTTAGACTTTGGTTGTTTGGGACAGGGTCTTGAACTCCTGGGCTCAAGTGATCTCTTGGATTTAGCCTCTCAAATAGCTGGGACTTTGGGTTTGTGCCACTGCAACTGGCTAGAGTAACAATTTTAAAAATGTGTTGTATGATTTCGAGAGGTGTTCCTGAGTTTAAACAAGACCTCTGCTTAYCTTAAAAGCTGACAAACTCTTAACAGTGACACCTGTGATCCTCCTTTTCTTCAACAGGGTATAGAAYAGTAGCCCAGCCCCAGGGGGTTGGTGTGGCAGGTATTTAGAGCAGCCCAACCCAGCTTTTCCTTAAGTGATATCAGGACTTGGCAGTAATGTTGGCTGGCTGTCTCAGGCCACTTCAGCATGTAAACACTGTCCAGGCTTACTGAGGGCAACTTGTCCAAGTCCTTCTCAGCTGTTGCTGGTAAACTGCTGGGAGCCTGGGTAAGCCATTTTATTCCTCTGTAAATTGAAGGAATTGGTCCAATGTCTTCTTTAAAATTCTCTTATTTAGAACTGGGGAATACAACTCAGTAGTAGAGCACTTGCCTAGCATGCACAGGCCTTGGGGYCAATCCACTACCACAATCAATCAATCAGTAGATATAAGATTCATACTTAGAAATAAGACCTTTAATATTAACTTTTTTTTTTTTTTAGTGTCTCACTAAGTCTCCTAGAAAGGTCTGGAACTCATAATCTATCTTTCCTCAGCCTCCTGAATTACAGGAGGCTCCTCTTGGATTACAGGCATGTGCCACTCTGTCTGGCTGGGGATTGAACCCAGGARCTAGGCAAGCAGTCTGCCACTGATGTACAACCTCATCCTCCCCTACTTTAAGTGAACCCAGGGGCTCTTTATGTCCTCAACCCTTTTTATTTTTCATTTTGAGACAGGGTCTCTCTAARTTGCCCAGGCTGGCAAACCTCCTGCCCCAGCCTTCCTCTCAAGTAGCTGGGATTTATGGTATGCACCACCATGCCCAACCAGAATTATATCTTTTAAAAGAAATTGTTTATTAAAAGTAAAATAAAGGGCTGGGGATGTAGCTCAGTTGGTAGAGTGTTTGCCTTGCATGCACAAGGCCCTGGGTTCAATCCCTAGCATCACAATAAATAAATAAATAAACAAACAAACAAACAAACAAATAAATAAATAAAATGGCTGGGTGTGGAGGTACATGTCTATAATCCCAGCTACTTGGGAGACTGAGGCAGGAGGATCACAAGTTCAAGACCAGCTTCAGCAATTTAGCAAGGCACTAAAATAAAAATTTTAAAAGGGCTAGGGTGTAGTTCAGTGGTAAAGCACTTGCTCAGCATGTGCAAGTCCCTGGCATCAGTATCTAGTACCAAAATGAATAAAGTAAGTAGGTTTAAGGTGCCAGTTACCACAGAAGTTAGGTTTGCTTTTTATATGAATCATAATCTCATAAGGCAAATTTTACTGTGTCCTGTTTTAATTTGGGGATAGGAATACCGTCACTGTCCTTGCAATAACTTTTGCTCCTCTAGAGGGAGATATGCCACTGAGTTCTGATTATTGACAAGCCTTCCAGGAGCCTGCCTGGCAGGACTTCTCTGGTTGGAAAGGGGACCCTGMTGACAGTGGGCACTTGTTTGATTGTTGGTTTTTAGATTAATCCTCACCAGAGAGCTCTTTAAGGAAGCAACTTCTCAACATACATTTTCCAGAAGTTGTACCTCATTTAAGCAAGAGATRTTTAAAATAATACATACACTTAAGTAAAAGAATAGCAACAGTAAAAATAAGCTTTGCAAGGGACATAGACTAAGTGTCTGGCATGCTCTAAACTTGCAGAGATTCACTTCATCTTTCTGAGTCTCAGTTTCTTCATCTATAAGTGAAGATGTTGAACTAATGTATAAAGTCTCTGATAGTCCAGAGCAGGACTCTTCAGGGTAGTGGCTACTAGCCACATCACTTTATTTTAGCTTACAAAAAAAAAAAAAAGAAAAAGAAAGAAAAAGGAAAAATTTCACTTCATTTTAAATAAGTTTCTGTTTTTTTGTTTTGTTTTGAGCTCTGGGGTTTGATCAGAGGTAT